TTTCTTCCAGTATAGAATGGACAATGATAAATTTTACCTAAAACTATTTCCTTGCCATAACCTTCCTTTAATCTTTGATACCAATTATCATCGTATTCTTCTATCTCTGATGAAATCTTTCAAAAAACCTAAGCCCAACAATAAAATAGGATAATCCTTCAAAACATGCAAACTGAATATGTAAAATTATGCTGGTTACAAACATTTGTGAACAATTACTTCCAACAAATTCAAGAAAAGATAGAAGTACCAAGAGATTTACTCATTCCTTTGAACCAATTGCTAAATTCTTACATCTTAAAGTTATGCATAAATATTTCCATCATCTTTAAGAAAAGATAGAGGTGCACCAGATATTTAGTCATTCTTTACGACTTAAACCATTGGTGATAACATGCGAATGTGATCATCCATTTTGTGTTACAATCTCAATGCTAAAAAGGATTCAAGAGTCATAGAATTACAGCCAAGAGTCATAGAAGGGGGATTTGTAGTCGTACCCTATATTTATGCGACAGTTTAACCTGTGCCCTATTTTTAAAAACTATTTATTTCGTAGCCAACTAACAAAAAATCCGTAATAATATGACTATTATACCCCTTTCAAAACATATAAAAGATGCATCACGCATAAATCAATTTACGGTTCTCCTCCATCACTCCGTCTCTCCTCAGATCGCCTCTCGCAAACCAGATTTGAACCAGATTCAAATTTCAAATTCAAAATTATAAAATACATTGTGAGTATTTAAATTCATCTTCAGAATTCAAAATAGTTTTTGAAACTGATTGATTTGATGATATATGTTTTCTGATTGATTTCATGATTCATCTTCACTGATATGCTGAATTTGCATTCTAAATCTGATTCACTTTGAATTCTAACATTCTAATCCGACAAATTCAAATATGCTGAAGTTTTCCACTGCATAATATGCGGAAATTTTTGGTTTATTTGCTAAACAAGATGAGTTTTTACATATGCTGAAGTACTTGTCTTGTAGTTTAATCAACCTGAAGTTATTTAGTTCATATGTAAAAAATTTAGGAAAACGAGCTAAAACATAGCTGCACTGTGCAAAAATAAAACATAAATTAAAATTTAATATTGCACAAAAACTTCAGCATAAAGTGCTGAAGTTTTTTAGTTAATCTTTAAAAACTTCAGCTAAACGAGCTGAAGTTTTCTTCCTACACTGGGTAAAAATAAAAACATAAATTACAATTTAATATTGAACAAAACCTTCAGCATGGGATGCTGAAGTTTTTTAGCTCATCTTTAAAAACTTCAGCAGAACGAGCTAAAGCTTTCCTCCTACACTACGTAAAAATAAAAAATAAACTAAAATTTAATATTGAACAAAAACTTTAGCATGGGATGTGCTGAAGTTTTTAAGTTCATTTCTGAAAACTTCAGCACCTACAAGCTGAAGTTTTTGTCCTGGATTAATTAATTTTGTTGTACAGCTTTTTCAAATAACTTCAGCCCATTGTGCTGAAGTTACTTAGTTCATTTCTAAAAACATGCACTTAGTAAGCTAAAGTTTTTGTCCTGGATTTAATTTTGTAATACAGGTTTTTCAAAAACTTCATCCCATTATGTTGAAGTTAGTTAGTTTATTTCTAAAAACTTCAGCATTTAATAAGCTGAAGTTTTTGTCCTGGATTCATTAATTTTGTCATACAGATTTTTCAAAAACTTTAGCACTTGATAAGCTTTTTAAAAAACTTCAGCAGAAACGTAAAGCTTTTTCAAAAACTTCAGCATGGGATTCTGAAGTTTTATAGTTCATCTTTAAAAACTTCAGCAGAACCAGCATGGCATGCTGAAGTTTTTTAGTTTTATCTTAAAAAACTTCACCAGAACGAGCTGAAGTTTTCCTCCTATACTATGTATTTTATTAATTTTTTTTGGAAAAACTTCATACCAAATAATGCTTAAGTTCCTGAATATGTAAAACATTTTTCATATAAAAATATGCTGATGTTCTTTTTACGTCACAGAAATGCCCGAAACATTTGTAAATAATTATAGCCAAGAGTCATAGAATTACAGCTTTAGGGTTGGGCTTGGGCTTATTTTGTTGTTCTACATGAGTGGGCTAGAATTTAACTCCAACCTATTATTATAGAGAAAATCTCACTTTATACCCATTAAGTTCAAACTATTTACCCTTAAATACCCATACCTAAACTATTTACTACCTACCCATGGGGCCAAACTATTTACCCGCCTCCTCCCCCTGAATATGGAACTTTTCAAGCACCTACCAGTTACCTGAGCGACCGATCCGGCAGAACAACTCAAAAGACAGGTAATAAATAAGAGAATACTAAAGATCCGAGCCATAGAATTTCCACCACATCAACCTGTGATCGGTTTTCCTCAGCCAGTTCCTCCACCTGGCGTCACCGCATCATCACCTGAATATTATGCTCATGGTTATCAGGCTGTTCCAAGTTCTTCTACCACCCTCTGCTCCTATATTGTGTTCATGATTTTAATAGTTACCGCAATTAATTAATCAAATGCCGAAAAAAATCACCTGATATTCATGATTTTCGTGAATTGTTGTTGCGTTTTTCAGTGATTATGGGTGGGTTGACTTTATTGTACAAAAATTCAAATCCACCATTGAAGGACCTTGAAGCTTGAAACTCATAACTTGGTTTGTTTGAGTTTTTAATTATTTTGATCCGATCCTATATGGGTTTGTTTGGAAAGTTGATTGGAGGTTGTATCTAAAGTTTTAGTCAATTTGGTGGAGATTTTGTAGTAGATTTTAGAAGTTTGGGTTGAAATATAGTTGAACAAGAGAAGAAGACGAATTTGTATTGTATACTCAAATAGTATACAAATATACCATTTTGGTATACAATTCATTCCAACTATATACCCTATTAGTATAACTATATACTATATTGGTATCATATGCTAGTTGAATCATTTTTGATTGTATTAGCTGCATTTATTAGTACAATATTTAAGTTTCTTTTAATAATAGTAATATATTTCAACATCTTGAAATACTTTATTACATTAATATGTGGTACACTATTTTTTTTATTTTTCTCTTTATGCATGTGTGTTATGTAGAAGTAGTATAGTCATATAGTTGCCGAGAATTAACCAGTAAAACTGTATACCATGTTGGTATAGTTATATGCCATATTGGTATCTTATGGTAGTTTGAGCATTTTTTTGGTTGTTTTGGCTGTATTTTTAAGTGAATTCTATTCAAAAATTATTTATATGAACGTGATTTGCAGTGCTGAAATTTTTTTGTGCTGATGGATATAGATTATATGTATTATGTAATAGTTTTTATAATTATAGGCAATTGTTGGAACGACCCATACCACTAAACACCCTGTTAGTATATGGAATGAGCAAGTTGCTTTGCGAATATTTAGCTTGCAATGCGAGCATGTAATTTTCTCATACTTTTATTGTATCCTTTAATGTTTTGGTACAGTAGTATAGTCACAGATAGTTGTAGCAATATTCTAGAGCAATCATATACTCTGTTGGTATACATGTATACCATATTGGTATCATGTGCTACTAGAAGTCTTTTTTGCTACTTATATTTTTATTGCATTTTCCAATATTTTATTATCATTTCTATTCTAACTAGTATATATGGAGATTTAGTGGTCGTAGATTATATTGTCTTGCTCCATCACTGGTTGGTGTTACTGCTAATGGTAGAGTATGTACTAATATTTGTAGGGAAGGAGATCAAGGTTTGCATGGCAATCACGTGGAATTAAAAAAGGAACAAGAAATAAAGAAAAAAATAAAAATAAAAAAATAAAGAAGGAGTCAAATTTGAGTGTGAAATAAGTTATGGTAAAAATAACAATAATATGATTTGGGCAAAAATAAATGAATAAAAGAGAAAAAATAAAAAAAATAGGAAGAAAATGAGAAAAAAGAAAAGGAGAAAAGAAAAGAAAAAAGCATAGAAATAAAAAAGAATTGGAGAATAAAGAAAAAATTCCCCACAAAAACTACTATGGGTAGGAAATGTAATTAGTTTATGGGTAGAAAAATAAATGGGTAGACAAGGGTAAATAGTTTTATTTTTGTAGGTAACTGCGTCAAAACCCCAATTATAAACATCAAATTTTAAATCTGATTTTGCCGATGGCAGGTGGCTATTGCGTATTGACTGTCTGACCAGTGTAAAGCAAAAGACAAAACTACTTATCTGCTGATAATGTAATTATTGCTATAAATTACTGAGTCCAAAACTTTTTTGATGCTTTTTTGTACAAAAAGCACATTTTTAGTGTTAAAAAAAAGTAACATTAATAAGCATTTCGCAGTATAATACTGCGAATTGCTTTAACGGAATTTTAGCCGTTAAAGCAATTCGCAGTATAATACTGCGAAATGCTTAAAAATGGGCCCAACTATTTTTCAAAAAGCATTTCGCAGTGTTATACCGCGAATTAGGGTAATTCGCAGTATAATACTGCGAACTGCCCTTTGATTTATACGTCTTCTTCTTCCTTTGGACCGACACAGCTTCCCCACCCACCATTAAAAAACTCCAGCGATTCTGGCCCCCACCCCCCGTAATATTTTAAAAAAANTCTTATAAATAATCGCACAAAAGATTTTCGCGAATGTTACTACTTTCAGATCCCTTGATCGCGGATTTCAGCATTTAGATTTTTAATTTTTCCAAACTAGTAGGACATAACATTTCTCGTTTTCTTGTAAATAAACTAGTAAGATTATAATCCTTATATTCATCCCTGCAAGATTTATAGCTTTGTTCACCAATTTTCAAAAAGGTTTTTACTTTTGTAGAATAATCATCATCAGTCGGAATCTTAACTTTGAAGAAAACAGAACAATTTCACAAATTGGTCAATCTAAGCTTGGAAGATAAATAGTACATGACGTAATATTTTATGGTGCCAGAACTTTGCTTCCTTCATCACTCAGCCACTCCATTGGAAACTACTTATCGTAGGGATCGAAGAAAGGCCTCACAAACAACTAATTTCAATCCAAATATCACAGGAAAAGGACCAAAACAGACACATAGTAGATTCTTGGCATAGGAATCGATGAAAAGCCTCACGAAAAACTAGTTTCGATACGAAATATATAACACAAAGAAGGACTATAACAACACATACAGCAGATAGTAACTTGGGGTGGGGTTGCACACTTGCATGAATTATATATAGTTTATTTATTACAAGTCACTATCCGGAGTGGTCCAAATAGAAGCCGAAAGTAGGCGCCGGGACTTCCACCCCAAAACGAGTTTATTGGTGCCAATCTCCTCCACCCTATACCCATCATTGAATAGCCCCAACAACAATTTTGCTTGACAATGATTTGCAAAGCTTATATTACTCTCACGATACCCCACCGCACTCAACCACTCCCCCCACGAGCACCTCTCATCCTCTCCCCAGGTTCGGTATATCCGGGCCAATGACCCGGTTATCCGAGGCCCAAGGAACACGCGCTCCACCAAGGCCCGAGCCCGGCTTTGGAGCGGGAACCCTGCCTCGAGGGAATCATAAAGGGCTGAGTAGTGGTGCAATGTGTCCATGAACCGGCCCACGAACCCTTCCTCCTCTCCAACTGGCCGTACTTCCTCTTCGACTAAGGTCACGAGCCTCGGATTCAGGGTCTTGGATCCGGATAGGAACGAAGCGATTGAATCCGAGGCTCGATAGGTAAAATGAGGCAAGTGTAACATGCAATTTATAATTATAGCTTCTCCTCGGACCAACTTCAGAGCGGATGGCTTAAACGTCTCATCCGTGTCCAACCTGCAGTGGTGAAACGAAAATGGCTGGCCGCTGGATGCAGCGAACGCTGTTAGCCGACGTCCGGTCTCTTGGACCGTCCCGAACGACCGACGACCACTGCCACTCCTCGACAATGCTGTGATCCTAAGGTGGGGAGTTGGGGGCCCATCTTTTCTGGACACCAAGGCTTGCATTAAGGAAGCCCATTGGATTCCTTCCATTATATCGTAGTCCACGATATGGACTCTTCTATCATGAGCCACGGCTTCTAAAATAGCTTGATTTGCTGTGAAGTGCCCAAATTTGATAAAAGGGGAGATGTCCTGTAATAACTGAAAAGCAGCAAGCACATCTCCCTGTTGCTGCTCGTCCTTATAATTAGGAGAAAACATGCTCTTAGGTAAAGATCCTGAGGCTGCACCGTCGAGCAACGCCTGCAAGGCATCAGTGAAATGTGCGGCTAACCTCTCCATGTTGGTAGAGCCGTTAGGGGAAGCCAATTCCTTGAGCCGAACCAATATCACCCGAGCTAACTCACGGCTTTTGTTCACGCCGGTTAGCGCCTCAGCTGCAGCCATCAGCAAGTGAACAAGCTTCAGCCCGTTGACATCTTCCGACTGATTGTTATTCGATTCTTCTGATTCCTCCATCAACACAGAATCCTCTGAGTTGTAAAAAGTAGTCGATTTTGGGATATTCATATTCAATCCTCCTGAAGAATTGTTCCCTTCGATCATGGATTCAATTAGATCTTGAAAATTATCGCCGCCAGAAAAAGCATCCCAATCAACAACTGGGGACCAGTCATTCCATGTACAACCATGATCATGGTCATCATCAGAAGAGGAGGTGGTGGTAGTAGTAGTGGTAGTGGTAGTGGTGGTGGGGGTGGTTAAACCACCGTAATAATCAAAATCTGGGATGGTGTCATCAACCATCATCGTCGCCATACCTAACAATAGTACCAAAGGCCTTGCGTTTCAAGTGTTTGTTATTATGCTAACTCAAAGAGAAGTGTGTGATTTATAAAGAAGAAGAAGAAGAAGAAGAGGAGAAGAGAAAGAAGAAGAAGAAGAAGGAGGAGGAGGAGGAGGAGGCTGAAACAAGAGACAATGAAGGTAGGAACCTGATTGAGATTAAGGCATTAATAAAATAGGGATTAGTACTTTAATGAATAGAGTGGTAATGATAGGGAGTTTGGTCTGATTTTATATACTCCCTCCGTTATGGTTTCATATTATTTGAGGTAGTTTGACTCGGCACGGAGTTTAAGAAAAAAGAAGAAGACTTTTGAAACTTGTGGTCTTAAATGCTTAAGGTTTGTGGGGCCATGCCATTTGTGTGGTTATAAAAGCTTCTCATTAAGGGCAAAAAGGGTAAAATGAAGAGTTTAAAGTTGAATTATTTCAAAACAGACTAAAAAGGAAAGTACCTCATTTAATATGAAATGGAGGGAGTATAACATTAAGCGGTCATTTGGCATGACGTAGTAAAAATAGTATTGAATAAGGTGTGTTAGTAATGGTAAGATTAGTTATGTTGACATTAGTTATGTTGAGATTATTTCTCATCCACTATTTGGTTTGGTGTATTAAAGCATTGCATATTTCTAAAAAAAAAAAATGTTTACAAAAATATCCTCTACATTCCTTAACTTTGTACACTATTTTTATTGTAATAATTTTATTACCCTCCACATTCTTTACTCTCTATAAATCTAACTTCTTTTTATAAGGGAGCAAAATTAAAAGAAAAAGCTAATTGAAGTATTAAAGTTAAAAAGAAAACAATTTAATTGCTATGACATAAATACAAAATACCAATTATTAAAAAATGAATAGATTTTTAACAAATCAAGTAAACTTCAGTGTATACTTCGAACGAACCAAAATCAAATTTATTTTAATATTAAATATGATATTATTTTGATTATAGTAGAATACTAAGTTAAAGGGAAAAAAGTAATTAAAATATCACAATATAAAAATATACAAATATGACGGAAAGTATTTGAAATAGGTTTTGAGGGATTTGAGGGGCAATTAGTTTATGCATGTATTAAAAATCCTTGCATTGTTAATAACATGGTTTGCTATGTATTAGTTATACATAGGATAATGACAAATAGAATATATAACTAATACAAGTATTAGTTATTCATAAATTCAAAAAATATACCAAATAAGGGATTAGTAATGCACAAAGCTAATGTTTGCATTGTTGTTTCTAATACCTCCTACCAAACGACCCCCATATGGTGTCAATGAAAGCTGATTAATCATGTATTGTATTAATTTACACTTTTGCCCCCATAGAATATTTTACTTACTAGTTTGAGATTTAGCCCCAATTGAATTTGTTTATTTTACTTACTAGTTTGAGATTTAGCCCCAATGGTATTTGTTTGTCATTAATCAATGTGGTCCTCTACCAACTAGAAGGTCGGAAGTTTTAAGGTACATCACACACTCTTTTGGATTGCAATAACCTTAAGCAAGGGGGAATTATTTTTATTAGATAGGTGAGGTTTCCGACAAACGAAGGGCATACTTTTGTGCTTGGTTTATTCAAGAAATGTGTGCCATCCACGTCATGTTGTATGCTCAGAAAAAGATCTGTTATAAAAAAATTCTACATTGGACCACGATCTACAAAGATAGAAATCACTTTGAAATTGTTATGTGGTCCGACTGTGGCTATGTATTTCATTTATAAGGGAGGTCTCGGTGTGTATCTCAATTATTTTACGAGTATTTATTATTTTTCATCAATATAAGTGCGAAATAATTTCGCCCATTAAAATTTAGATATGCAGAAAGAAGAAATTGCATAACATTTGTTAAATGTGAAATATGCATATAATTCTGACAAAATCAACTAATAGTATATATCTTGGTGACGATTTTATTAGTACCATAATATTTTTTGATGAACCGGAAGAAAGTATAGAAGAGCGTTTTGGCAACTTTAAACTTACTGCTAAAATCTTTAATTATACTCCTTCATGAGTAACAACATCATTATATCATTTCTTAAAATTATATTATCAAAGACTGCTCGAGCAATTATTGCTATGTGTTTTCATGTCATACATACATATGAGGGAGCATTTCATGTACCTATCTAGAGATTATTGCATTAATTAGTAATTAACTTTTGAATTTGACAGTTCTCTACAGCTTATATGTAAAACCTAGCACATTAAAGGATGATATAGAGATTTATGGGGAGAACTTTATCCATAGTGGCGAACATACTAAATCAATATATACTTGTTACTCGGTATTGATTTCAAACTTAAATTTGTGTCATCTATATATCAATTAAAATTTTGTATTTTGCACTCGATGCTAAATACAAATTATAAGAAAATTGTTATAAAACAATAAATGAAGGAGAAGAGTATTGCAGAGAAAATTAGAGAGAGAATTCTTATTGATTTGGGATGAATTACAATGGAATAGGCTCCTCTATTTATAGAGGAGAAGTGACTTAGCCACCAAGTAAAATATAGGCATTCACCTTAAATAGAATTCTATTTATAACACACCCTCTTGAATGTCTATTTACCAGATAATGTACCTCGTTAAAGCGTTAACTAAAATAAAACCCAATGGGAAAAAAATTCTAGATAAGGAAAAAGAGTACACATATCTAACAATACGCCTTTTGGTTGCCTCGTTAAAAACCTTGCAAGAAAAATCTAGTAGGACAAATGTAACAACCCGGCCGGTCGTTTTAAGAATTAACGCCCTGATCCCCTATTAACTGCATTCCCCGTGTTTGTTTCTGGTATCGTGAGTTGTTGGGAAGATTCGTTTGAGTTTCGGAGTGCTTTGGGACACTTGGTCCCTAAATAAGAGCTTAAGCTTTAGAATTTGGACCGTAGTCGGAGCAGTGTGAAGACGGCCTTGCAATGGAATTCTGTCGATTCCGTTACCTCCGTTGGGTAATTTCGGGCTTAGGGGCGTGTTCGGATTGTGTTTTGGAGGTCCGTAGCTTAATTAGGCTTGAAATGCCGAAAGTCGAATTTTTGAAGTTTCCGGTTCGATAGTGAGATTTTGGTATCAGGGTCGGAATGGAATTTCGGAAGTTGGAGTAGGTCCGTTGTGTAATATGGGACGTGTGTGCAAAATTTCAGGTCATTCGAACGAGGTTTGATAGACTTTTTGATCGAATGCGGAATTTAGAAGTTTTAGAATCCTTAGGCTTGAATCCGAGGGTGTTTTGATGATTCGATGTTGTTTTGAGTGTTCCGAAGATTGGTACAAGTTTGAATAGTGGTATATGACTTGTTCGTACTTTTGGTTGAGGTCCCGGGGGCCTCGGGATGATTCAGGGTGATTGACGGGAAGTTGGGAGTTAGATTAAGCAGCAGAAGCTGCTGAATTCCTGTCATAACCGCACCTGCGGTTTGGGGACTGTAGGTGCGTAAACGCAGAAGCGTGTGGTCAGCCGCAGATGCGGCCAGATGAGGAAAAGTCAGAAGTCGCAGGTGCGTGTGCTTTATCGCACCTGCGGGACCGCAGGTACGGGTAGATGGGCGCAGGTGTGGTCCCAGTGCATTAAGTAAAAATCGCATATGCGGTTGGTTAGACCGCAGAAGCGGTAGCGCAGAAGCTGGAAAAGGGCCGCAGGTGCGGAAACCCTTAGCCAAAACCTATATAAGGGTTCCTTCGTGATTTTCAGCTCCATTTTACCATTTTTATCCGGGATTGAAGCTTTTTGAGAGATTTCTGAGAGAGAATTCAAGGGAGGTTCGAGGAGGTAAGATTATTGGAACCAAAACACGTTTATATGGTGTTATTTCACTGAATTGACAAGAAATTTATGGAAAATGGTGGTTAAAATTGGGGGTTTAGGGTTTGAAATTGGTGACTTTGATTTAGGAATTTGAGGGGTTGTTTGTAGTCGGATTTTGATGTATTTGGTATGCATGAACTCGTGAGAGCGTAAGGATTCTAGTTTTGTAAATTTTATCCGATTCTGAGACATGGGACGGGGGACTTTTTGGGCAATTTTCTTAATTGCGCGTGCTAGCTTCGAATTTATTAGTTGAATTAGCTACTTGAAGTTATATTTATATTATGCAATTAATTTGAATAGATTTGGGGCATTTGGAGTCGGGTACTCGTGGCAAGAACGTGATTTCGAGTTGATTGAGTTGGTTCGAGTTAAGTGGCTTGCCTAACCTTGTGTGGGGGAACTCCCCTTAGCTTTTGGTATTGTGGATATATGAATGCCGTGTACGTGAGGTGACGAGTGCGTACATGTGCTAATTGTTGAAAAACTCCATTTTCATTAAGTAGCTATAATTATGTTTTCTTCCTTGTTGTACGCTACTTGCAATTGAAGCCTACTGTCTAGTTTAGGGAAGCATGCCTAAGTGACTTAATTGTTCTATTGGCTTAAACTGTTTACCTGTATTCTGTGTAGCATGTTAGGATAGAAATATTTGTGTTTCCTTAGTACGAAATTGGATAAAATTGAATATTCTTCGTGATACTGTTGTGTGTTTACTTTGGGACTACGGGCGATATCCCGGGAGATCCCCCCTTGCTTGTTTATTTGGGACTACGGGTTGGTATTCCGGGAGATCCCCCTGCACATTTATATTGGGACTATGGGACTGCACCCGGTAGATTTCCCCCTGTACTAGATATTTACATTTGGGACTACGGATTTGGCATTCCGGGAGTTCCCCTGCGCATTATGAACTGGACTATGGGACGATATCCCGGGAGATCCTTTGTGTATTTACATTTGGGACTACAGGACGATATCCTAGGAGATCCCCTGTTGTCATCTCGGTGTGGAGTTACATTCTTTCTATGATCTTTCCTTCCGTTATAGTTTTTATTATCTTTATTTTTCCTGTCTCATTTCATACTGCTTTATCTTATGCCGTATATATGTATATAACCAGTAGAGCCCTGACCATCCTCGTCACTACTCGATCGAGGTTAGGTTTGGGACTTACTGGGTACCGCCGTGGTGTACTCATGCCCTTTCCTGCATATGTTTTTCGTGTGCAGATCCAGGTTCTTCGGCTCAGCTATACCGTCAGTGAGGCAAGGCGATCTTTTGAGGCTTCGAGGTATATTTGCCGCGTCCGCAGACCGAGGAGTCCCTCTAAATTCCCTCTTTTAGCTATAGATCTTCTGTATTTTCTTTTGACTAGACATTCTGGAGTTAGAGCACTATGTAGTAT